TTTATGCGGGCCTCCCACAGTGACTGCAACCTCTCCTCCCTAGGACAGGCAGTCACCTCCTTGGTGGAGGGAAGAAAGGAATAGGGGGAAAAGAAGCGAGAGAAGGAGAGAGAGAAGGAAAGAGGAAAAGGGAAACCTAAAAGGATAAACCCCAATGTCCTCAGTGATTCTCTGGGACAGAGTCCTTGGTAGGAAATCAAATTATCTTAACTGAGTGACTGCTACACCTAGAATTCAGCTGGTATCAGGTGGATCAGACAGAACAGGTTTCAGACCTCTCTGAGGATCTTACCTTCTATACAGGGATTACAAAATCAGTAGTAGGAAAGGAGAAAACTCTGATGAGGTTCCTCTTCATGCTTATGTCAATTAATCCTAATTCTCTCTGTCCCCAAAGAGAGACTTTAAAAAGGAGCCTTGCTGCTTCAGAGCCATGGGTGTGTCTGAGGTTGTCCTGCCTTGCACCTCTGTCCTGCCTGGCTGATGTCAGGGTCTCTCTATGAGGTCACCATCTCCCCACCAGTTTTCCCCAATAGGCTGAGGTCCTGCAACAGGCCTTTGTGATATCACTGCTGCTCCCACCTGTCCCCTATAAGGCTGGTGTCCTGATCCTGGCCAGCCTCTTGGATGTTTGAATGGCTTCCCCTGAATCATCCCACAGCTGAGTCTGGGGATCAAGCCGACCGCATAGTAAAGCAACAGAGGCTGCTCTCTGTGGCACATACAGTTTTTCATTGATTAGTTGACTTTAAAAGGCCAGAAGGAACCATGAGAGCATCAAATCTGACCCCTGAATATCCCACCCATCCTATATATCCCATTTGCTAAGTTTTGATCCAAGCACATACCAGAAAGGCACGCAGTCTTCATTAGAAGACATCTAGATATGGAGAATCCATCACTTACTTCAGTAGTTTGTTCCCATGGTGAAGCCTAATATTTGTGCCTTATTTCTAATATGAATGTATTTGGTTTCACCTTCCAGCCATTGGCCTTGAAAGTAGGAATAAGGGATCTTCCGGAAAAGGGCTTATTTTCTGCAAGATCCCGTCTAGACTGGTGCTTTTCTCCGGCAAAACCCCGAATTGGAAAAAAGCAGCAGCCATGTTCATGCAAATGCCGTGGGGGATATTTAAATCCCCCGCGACATTTATAATTCTGAAGTGTCTCATTAGCATCCCTTTTCCGGAAAGGGGTGCCAATGGAGACACAGCTTTCTGGAAAAGCGTCTTCTGAAAGAAGCCTGCAGTCTAGACATAGCCCCTATGTCACTGCCCTGATCTCAGTCTTATTTATCTCTCTGGTAGTATTTTGTCACCCACACATGTTACCAGCAGTGGTTTTATACTGACTTCCAGTTCATTGATAATTATTTAAACGATTAATTCTCGAGAGCCTCTTCAGAGCCTACTACCAAGTACCTGCTCCTTACAGCTAAGCAGGAAAAGGCCTTCCAGCCCTGCTCTTACATAGGAGCTAAGCACAGAACATATGCTTAGGCTCTGAACAAAAAGTGGGGATCAACAGCTTACAAATGCACTATTGGCCCCAATTGTGTGTCAGGGTATGTCTACACTGCGATCAGCACCCCCACCTGCACAGCCGTCAATGACTGTAACGTCATCATCGGGCGCACGGACCAGCGGTGCTCTAGGCAACTGCCTAGTTTGCCTAGGCTCATGGGCCGCCCCTGCTCATGGTCACAAAGCCAGGAAAATGACCGGTTTGATTGACATCTTGGTCCCTAGCTCTCATTATCCTGGCCTCTCGGCTCTAACTTTAGTCTCGGCCAAACTATAGGTTTTCTTCCTGCATAAAACAGATTTTGTGTAGCCATCTGGCTCAAATGCATGTGGATGCTTCAAAACAGTGTGCTCTGGTGAAGTCACATATTCTGGGGTTGATGGAGGGACCACATAGTTGGTGTAGGAAAGGAATTTTCTCATGTGTCAGATTTACAGAGGGAGTGGAAAGTGGGGCAATGTTGCCTTCCTCTGCAGAATGGGGCCTGGGTCACGTGCTGGTTTCAATTAGTGTAAATGGTGTATTCTCCATAACTTGTAGTCTTTTAATCATGATTTGAGTAATTTAGCCAGTGATTGTAGACTGTAACAGAGTCAGGATGGAGGAAGTTCTGTGAACTGCAGCCAGCAGGGGGTCAGACCAGATGATCATGATGGTCCCTTCTACCCTTAGGCTACGTCTACACTGGCCCCTTTTCCGGAAGGGGCATGTAAATTTCACTAGTCGTCGTAGGGAAATCCGCGGGGGATTTAAATATCCCCCGCGGCATTTAAATAAAAAGGTCCGCCGCTTTTTTCCGGCTTTTAAAAAAGCCGGAAAAAAGTAGGAATAAGAGCCTCCGGAAAAGGGCGCTTTTTCCGGAGGATCGGGGCCAGTCTAGACGCTCTTTTCCGGCTTTTTTAAAAGCCGGAAAAAAGCGGCGGACATTTTTATTTAAATGCCGCGGGGGATATTTAAATCCCCCGCGGATTTCCCTACGACGACTAGTGAAATTTACATGCCCCTTCCGGAAAAGGGGCCAGTGTAGATGTAGCCTTAAAGTCTAAATCTGACACCTGCCTTTTACCTTACCCTGGATCTCGGACTGCTACTACTCTGACTAATAGGCATGACCGACCAGCCTAGGAATGTAAGGGTATGTCTAGACAATGGCACTTTTTCATGATACAGCAGTTATTCTGAAATAGCGTTTTCCATGTCTTAACAGCATGCTTGTTATTTAGAAATGTAGTCAAAATAACGGGCTTGATATTCTGACGTCCTGGTAAACCTCGTTCCACGAGGCTTAAGGGACTTGTCATAATAGCAGTCTATTTCGGAATTTGGCCCTGTATAAACAGCACTACATCTCAAAATAAGCTGGAACTAAGCTACACAATTTGCGTAGCTCAAATTGTGTAGCTTATTTTGAGCTAGCACAACTGTGTAGACGCACCCTCAGTGGGCTTTGTTTGAGGAGGTGGTGTTATACCAACAGAAACACTCTGTGCATATAAGCTGCATCTAAAGAAGGGGGCTCTGCTGCTGTAGCCATGTGAACATAAGTTTTGTAGTGTAGCTGCACCATCAACTTTAATGTAAAACGTATTTCAAGATCTTGCCGCCTATCTACACTGGCCGTGAGTATTTGCACAAGAACACCGACGTTGTAATGTACAAAATCAATGCTTCTTGCGCAAATACTCTGCTGCTCCCGCTCATGGATAAGCCCTTTTGCTCAAGTATTCTTGCTCAAGAGGCCAGTGTAGACAGGCAACGTTAATTTCTTGCGCAAGAAAGCCCGATGGCAAAAATGGCCATCGGAGCTTTCTTGCGCAAGAGAGCGTCTACACTGGCACGGATGCTTTTGCACAAAAGCACATGCCAGTGTAGACACTCTCTTGCGCAAATACTTTTAACGGAAATTTTTTTCTGTTAAAAGTATTTGCGCAAAATCATGCCAGTGTAGATAGGATACTAGATGGACCTTTGGCTATTCTGTTTCAGCTCTCCTCCCTCATTAATCCTCTTTGTGGCGCTGCTCAGGAAGGGGGCAGGACTTGAGGAAAGGGTGGAGCATGACTGGTGACTGCAGGGTGGGAGAGGCCAGGGCCAGATTATCCATTAGGCACAACAGGCACAGTGCCTAGGGCCTACGACAAAGTTTAGGGCCTACGAAAATTCATAATGGACTTGAAAATAAGAAAACTGAAAAATCAAATATTACAATTGTAACGGCAACATCTTCTTACTTCCCTGATCAGATGATTAACTGCCGGGTGCATCCTAGGTATCATTGTAATATACATCAAAATGGCTGCGATTTTAGCATGAAGTATCATGAATTGCTCACAAGGTGCAGCACTTTCAGGAGCAAAAACTGAAGTGGGCAATATTAGGCATCTATGCACCAGGCATTTCTCCCATATCTATTTAGAATCCAATTGAATGCCTATAATTATGAGTGGCCTAGGGCCTACTAACCTTAATCCAGGCCTGTCCCTGGCTCCACACCTGGGACGCTGAGGCACGTGCGCGCCCCCCCAGGGCGAGCCCTGTGGAGCTGCGTCTAGGGCGGGTGCCATGGCGAGCACGCGCGGGCGTTTGACCGCAGCCTCGCCTCGCTGGGCAGGTGTCTGGGGCGTGGCAGGGCCTGGGGCGCTGGTGCTGCGGGGGGCGTGAGGCAGGCGGGCGGGGTGCGGGGCG